TGTAGGGTGCCAGCCCCTCTAAGAAGACAGCCCGAAGTGCGGAGTCATCCCATTGAAGTTTGGCTGCGATGGTGCGAAACTCTTGACGCATAGGTGCACACCGAGCGTTCCCATTGGTGGAGTTTTAGGAGACGTACTTCAGCCCCCACCTCACTACTGGGTGGAACGAAGGTCTTCCTGAAGGCGGCCACAAAAGCAGCATCGTCATTGCAGGCAGGGGATTTAGAATTATAGAGAGCAGCGGCCCACTCCTGAGCGTGTCCAGAGAGAAGTGAGGTGAGGTGCGCCACCCGAGAGAGGGCAGTGGGGAAGGTTCCTGGTTGGCACTCATATTGCATGTCGAGGGTAGCGAGCAGACCATCGGGGCTCCCATCCACCCCGTTCCACCTCTCCGGAAGGCTGAACTGCGGCTCCTCCTTAGGCGGAGCGAGGGCTTGCTGTTGGAGAGCATTGAGAGATGTAGCTAACTGAAGAGTGAAGTCGGTGAGGGAGTTCACCTTGGTGTTGAGCCGATCAACCAAAGCGTGGAGTTGAACAACCTCATTCTTCATACGCTCATACTCTGCTGGGTTAATGGACTCAGTCATCCTGTCAGACTGGTCGGCTGGATAAGGGAGTTGAGCTGTAGCGAGCGTGGCTTTACAGACGCGGAAGTGCTAGCGTCGGCGATACACCGGCTCGCGGTTTGATCTAGGAATTCCCCGAGCGTCAATGAAGTGACACGGAGATGCTGGGTTTTCCAGAGGTAAGTAATAGAGCTTACTGTGAGTAGACAGTTCGTCGGATAGGTAGGTTGATAGGATACTCTGATCACGGATCTGAAGAAACGATGACTGAGTGGTGAGCTGGGGAGGCGACTTCCGTATATAGTCGCGGTTAGTGACGTGGGTGTGACGTGGAGGGAATCCCCGCGAGGAGCATGCTGGGAGTTGTGGTCCAGGATGGAGACCGGCTAACTGGAAGTGGCTGGTTTGGGGACTTGGGCTCTGACAGTAATGGCTTGGCCAGGGCTGCACTGAAAATATATTTTCGACATTTTTCATATAGTTTTCAATAATTATTGATGTCGGTCAATATGATTTATTTTATTTTATCAATAAGCTTTTTTTCTGTATCGGCCAGCCCTTGTCAGTATATGTTTTTACAACTATAGCACAACTTAGCATTATCCTGATATTCTTTGAATTACTAATTACTACCTAGAAGTTATTTCAGATGCAATTTTTTTTTTATTTGAATTTTTATTCTCTTATGGCTACATAGTTTGTTTATGTATAATTGTTTTTATTGCTTATTTTGTATGAAGATGAAGTTGGTTCCTCTTTTAGGTTTCTGATTAAAAATTAGCAATTCCAACAAATTTTCCTTCTCCTTGAGCAGCTTTAATCTACTCTAATGATATATATTTTTCTTTAATGGGTGACCAGTCAGAACATTTTAAATAAATGTACTGTTTATAAATATCAACCTACAGTCCTGAAAAAATATGATAATATGATAGTCCAAACACAATAAAATGTGAAGAACGTAGCCTTCTTTGAACTTTTATTAATCGAAAAAGGTTTCCAACTGACCACGTCTTTTAGGGATTTTGCTGGTTTTTTTAGAATGTTTTTAATTCTTATAATAAATTTATTTCTCATACAATTTTAATTCAATGTTTACTCTGTGTATGTAGCAATTTTTGCTTTGTTTCTTGCTCTTACAAACTTATATTAGTCTTCACTTTTATGTAATTGTTGAGTTGCTGTTTTTGGCTCTTTGGACTACCTTGATTGATTGCATTAAAATGCTTTACACATAAATACATTAAATGAATGTAGAATAATATAGTGCAGGGCTGAAGAATCAAGGTGTTCTAGTTTTTTAGCTGAACCAGGTCTAAAGTGGACCCAATGCAAAAAAGTGCTGAAATCAGTTTTCTTAATAGGTTTCACAAATTGGAGCAATCAGCTGCCTTAAATCAGTTTCTAAGATGATTGACAGAAAACCTGACTAGTAGTAAAACAATGTTTGTTTGTTTTTACCTGAAATGATAGGCCCCTAAACATCATAGGCCCCTGGCCACAGGCCTGGTCCGTGCATTAAGGCAGCCTTGAATGCAGGAGATAGTTGTAAGAGACAATTTTCATGTTCAGTCTGCATGACAAACTTCGATCGAGTGACCAATTATAATCATAAATAATAACAATAACAATGGCTTGTCAGCCACATATTGAACCACATATTTAAAAGACTAGAATTCCATTAAAACATCAAAAGACAAGGTTTATCAAATAATGTACCAGCATACAGGAGATATATCTAGCAAAATGGATGTGTTTCAGAGTACATAGTGATAAAAGCTTAGAAAATATAACAGTTCAAATAACTGGATAGTTTACTTTTTTTTAAACTGTAGTGCAGTGTGCTTTAGTATTTAGTGCTAGTGTGTCCCCTTAAGTTTAAACAGAGATGGGTTACAGGAATAAAAATATTACAGATAATCAAACATTTACTGGCACAGATGAGATATAAGGGAGCAGTGTTGTGTCTTTAGAGTGTGTGTGTGTGTGTGTGGTCTTTCAGATGTTCTTGTCTGACAGCAGGATCTCTTCTTTATTTTATTAGTGAATCTTGAAGTCAGTTTCTATTACGATAACAAACACCAGACTCTGAGCACCACTCTGATACATATGCATGGGAAGAATGGATGCAAAAAAGAAAAGAAAAATACACTCAGTTCTCTTGTTAAGATTCATACAAGTGGAGAAATACCAACTGTTTTAGAATACAGAAAAATAAAGGAATGAAATCAAAATACATAATAATGTCCAGGCTCAGTATCTTTTAGGACAGATAAACCTTTTAAATCACAGATAGACACTTTAAAGAGAGATGTTTGATCAATAAACTCTTGAGTGAATATAATTCAGTGTGTCTGAGATTATTTATTTGGTCTTTAGACATGGAGTGCAAGCTATTTGCTAATACTCAGGCGGAGACATGTAACCCAGCGAGATACCAGCTTTAATGTGCTAGTAGTAATTAGCACTGCCACATAATGTTTATTTAAGGAAGTATAACAGTCAGTGAGTAATTAGACTAAAGATGCTACATGTTGGCTACATGTCAGTGCTCAATGAGGAATGTGTGTAAAAGCGTAAGTTGTTAGCATTGCTATGCTAATTATCTTCTGAGGGAGCTGTCTAGAGCTCCATGTAAGATGTACTTTGAAGTTTCAATAATGAAAATGGGGTGGAACCAGTCCAGAACTACTACAGAGACACTTGTCAATGATGCCAAGCTGCTGGAACCATAGTAACCAAGAAAACAGTTGGTAACATGCCATGAAGGACAGAAATCCTCATATCAAATTCAAGCTCTTTGGCATCAAATCAACTTTGGAGGATGAATGCTGTCAAGGACTCCGAGAATACCTACCCCTCCTTCAAAAATGGAGGTGGTGCTTTGGGGATGTTTTTCTACCAAGGGTGTGAAATTCAGGAGTGTTGCTACCTGCCTCTAGTTACCTCCTCCTCAGACTCCAGAAGACTCAACATTGGCTCATTATGTAAGTGGGTATTCCAGCATGATAATGTTCCAAGCAAATAGCCAAGGCAAGAAAGGATTGGCTTAAGAAGAAGCGTTTCGTATCTTGGAGTGACCGAGTCAGTCTTTAGACTAGAATCCCATGTGCAATCTGAGGGGGAGCTGAAAGTTTGAGTTGCCAAACATCAGCCATGAAACATTAACGACTGAAGCAGAGTTCGTTGCGGTTCTTTCCTTTGTTCTAAATGACTTGAACACGTCTTTTATACCACAACAAGAAAAAAAGCTAAAAGCCTTTCTTCTAAAGAAAGATGTTTGCGCCATCACTAGGCGCCATTTTGGACTATAACTAAAAAACTACAGCGTTGCACGGTACAGTCGACATTTCAGCCTTTTTTCTGACTTGTTATTTTTGAGCTGGCTAGTCCCGCTCCTCGTGTACCTCTCTGCCTGTGAGTAACCAGACTAGTTCTCTGTGTAGACAGAGCACGAGTCTTGTAGGCCAGGCTACAAAACATGTGGCCAACAACAACAACACGACTGACCTCTGTAACTACCAAAAGGATTTAGCTTACAAGTACTGACTGAATGAACTAACTGATTGAATCTGAGCTTGCAATTTCTCTTGAAAAGTGGATTGTAACTCTAGTTATTTTAGTGTAAAACTCAGTGAAATACAGTTAAATTCCTTCAAGTAATGGTGAGACTTCATTCAAAATAATGCTTTCTTTTGGGTAAATGGATCCAGATTCTGGACATAAAACATCTTTCCAGTGTCTATTTTAAAAAATAACATATTTTTTATACCTCTGTTCTGTATCTGTGTACGTTTGCACTCTTTTTAGTTTTGTGTTTTGCAGTTCTGCAGAACCTTGCTAATGTTTGTTTTGGACAGAAAATATGAATAGAATAGAAATGGGGCACTTGCCCTGCTGAAGCAATTGGTCATAGTTAAAAATGGGTTGTCGTCCCGATCGGCCCCATCTCCCCTGTTTCCGCCCAGAATAAACGGCCCAATCTGTCACCCCATCCCATTTCAGCTGAGCGTTATTCGGCTCTGGCACATACTGGGTGCTGCAAAATGGCAACGGACAGGCAGCAAGATGTGCAGGAGGGCTCTTATCTGAAATAAAAACACTGTTCTGTTACACCAGGACCAATAAACATGCAGAGCCACAGTGTAAGGAAACAGGAGCAACAGATTCAGGCTGTGGGTTTCCTTTTCTAACACTGGTGCAGATTAGTGGGCTTGAGTTGTTTTAATGCTTTGGCTGGTTTTAAGGAATCTAAACTGGCAACTATCCCAATCAAATTACTTATTTGTTTGTATTAAGTTACAGACTAATAAGGGAGGGTCTGCAGAAAGGCTCAGTATTGATTCACATTATTCCCAGAAAGGGATTCGTGTCACAGAGGTAATCAGTGTTTTATAGATCCTATTATCTGTCTAACACCCGCTGTATTTTCAGATTTAAGCTGCATTTGGTCTTCATAGAAGAACTGGAAATTCTACAGAGAAGGAACAGATTGCAGCCATAATTATATTGTGAACTTGTGCATGGTGATTTCCAGCTTTTGTGTTTTGCCTGCTGCAATTACACCCAACCAGATAAATAATGTGTATATAACATATTGTTCAGGTATTTTCTGTCTCATGTCCCACAGATAACCACGTGGTATCCCAACAGAGGAAAAGGGAAGTAAGGAGGACCGAGACTCTCAGACGTCTTCAGCTTTGGTGGCTTCATGCTCAGCTGTCTTTGGTTTTAAGACGAGGAACTTTACTAAGCAGAAGGAACCATGGATTTTGTGATGAAGCAAGCTTTAGGTGGTAAGTTCTCAGCTGCACCTCTGAATGCTTCTATTCTCTTCTCTGAAAATGTTTTAGACAGAGACACAGTTATCATCCACATCATCACAAAAACAAAGAGGTTAATTTTGTAATGGATCTTCACTAGATCCTGACCTGGGTGCTCATTTATCAGCCGTACTTGCGGGCAATTCTGTCTGTATTTTGTGTGTAGGAAAAATTTTACGCATTGTGTGGTATTTACCTTTTAGTACTTGTGCGTAGAAATGTTCCTAAATATAAGATTAGCTCTGACCATGCGTATGACCAGCATCCACGCGGGTTCCTCATCCACAAATTATTTTTACAAAATAAGTAATTTGGCATTATTGCAAAACTGGTGTTAAAACCTTTAAAAGACACTTAAGACTGACGGGAATCTGACATTGTATGACTGATGTTGTGTTATTGGAGGATTTGGCAGAGCGTGCACTCCAGAGGGAACATGTCTTCCGTGAGCCCAATGATCTGCTAGAGAGGAGGCTGCAGTCAGACAGCAAACCTTTCCACACAAAACTAACTTTCCAAGGTTCTAAACAGATATTGTACAGAATTTAGGAGATGCAATCATTAGGAGCCCTAAAGACCTTATTATTATTAGCATACAGGGCTTTCAGCTCTGCACCTGTTGATGAATTTGTCAACTGAGAATTACAGAGCTGCTGTGTTATCTAAATGCAAACAAAGTATTACATTTGCTGTTAATATTTCGCACTTGCGTTGTGTGTCCTTACTCGTTGTTGCAGAATTGCTAAAACGTTTTGCTTTTTAGGACAAAAAAATTTGCATTTTCTCTCACTCTGTAAGCGAACCATGCAAGAGAAAAACAAAGATGTTGCTCAAACCTGAGTTCATGAGCTTCTCACCTGATGAACTCAACAAAGTAAAAGATCTCAAACAAAAACAAATCATTGTTTATTTTTGTTGCTCCAACAATCAGAATCAGAACATCTCTGCTAAACACATCAGATCCTCGTTTCTCTCCCCCCGTCCTTCCTTTTCTCAGTTGGGACTTTAACCTCCGCCCTGCCGCTTGCCTTCTGTCCCATTTTTCCTGCCTTCACGCTGCTGAGCACACTCCCTCGATTATTCTGTGCATTTTAATAGGCTGCATAGATGGGCTCTGCCAATCTCTCACCCCATCAGCTCCTTCCATCCTTCCAGATTTAAAAGGTCGTCATTTACCTCCCGTCAGCTGCAGCTGACCTTTTTTCTTTGAACTGAGAGGCTCTTATTTCAACGAGACTCAGCTGGATATTTATTAAAATATAAAAACTCAAAAACAAACACAAAGATCTGACTCAAGCATGGAGGAATAAGAAGGAAAGGAAACTAATCAAAACAAGAAGAAGAAATCCCAAAACAGTGCATTTTAGCGAAGAGAAACAGAATCTAATTAATCTTGACATAAACAGGCTGGGCCTGGCTGGTCTGAGTGGTTTATTAGCTCAGATTGACATTTAGATTCCTGTTTATGACATCAACATCCTGTTTTTCCTTTGGACAGGAAATCAAACCTCTGAGGTTCGATCCTTCTTTCATAAAGAAGCTGAGCTGAAACGTTACGCTGAGATAATCTCGGAAACATCCACATGAAGCGCTCCGCACCAGGCAGGGTCAAGCTCACCATTTCATTTCCTGTGCTGCAGGTGTGATAAAGATGAGCAGGTGACAGCAATATCAAAAAGCTGCTGGGAAGGTGTTCGAGTGGCCTGAAGGCCGGTTTGTGTTGCTCTGTGGAACTTCAGCAGGAGCTGTGGGCTTCTGCACGGTGCACACACACACACCTGATGGGTGTTTCAGTGTTTCAGACATATCAGCTTCTTGTGTGATTATTTGGAGATAATCCCTTCTTTAAATAATCTAATGCTGCAGCATTATCACTCTAATTGGTCCGACTGACTGAAAAAAAGGGCGTGTAGTTATTTAATGTATTGTTTGCCAAAAATCTTGATTTTATGCCCGTTATTTTCTCACTTTCCTATTTTTTTATTTATTTTTTTGGTGCAGATGGACGGGAAGCAAGAGGGATCATCACACAGCTGTTTTAGCATTAATACTAGAGAAAATAAATGTAATGTTATAATAAACAAAAATGGGATTTAGATCGTGTTTCAATGGAGAAAAAGCAAAGTCAAATCAGATGTAGACCATGTAGAGCATCAGAGGACAAAGAGGACAGTGGAGGACAATAGATGGCTGGAGAGAACATGTGGAGGTTAAATGTACTGAGGACAACATCTCTGGAGAGAGGAGTTATAACAAAACCAACCCCATTAAATGTACCCTGAAGCTCACTGTCCCTTTGTGAAGACAGTTCAAGCTTTTTCATCTTCATCTCTCTTTTAGATATTTCATTCTGCAAAAACTCTCTGTTGGTGGATTTAAAAGGTGGTCATGAATTTGTGTCAAAACAGAAAAAAACAAAGAACCAATTCAATATGTTGGTGATTTTAATCATGATGACCCGAAAGACCTTGTAGTTAATCCTGTAACATCTTCTGGTGTGAGCACACCAGTAGAGAAACAGAAACATGTTAACTGATTCTGACTTTTCACACAACTGACTACAACAATTAAATAATTAATATTTTCTCCTGGGGTTCTTTTTGAAGTCATACTATGCAACTTATTTCATTTTTTTTTTTAAATAATTTTCTTGAGCCTGTATGTGCTAAAATGACTCTTTGGAAAATGCATTAGCTTCTGATAGAAAATAAGACTCTGGGATTAGAAAAGCCTGACAGACTTACGTCTTACGGTCACTTCACATTCATGGACTCTTCGGGGAAGGCTGCTGTTAACGTCCAGGAAACAGCAGAGAATGTCTTGGCTAGTAGAAGCTATAACCTTTAGCATTAGAGTTAGCCTAAGCCGAAGCAAATGTTTTAATTAAACGAGTGCCCCGCGCAATTAAGAGTTTTGACAGAAGGGGATAAGGATTTCTAACGGAGTTCCCCAGTGAGTCGTGGTGGATGGCTGCTTATACTGAGCCAGGATCGTCTGGTTTCTTCCTGTTAAAAGGGAGTTTTCCTCTCCACTGTTGCCACATGCTTGCTTAGTATGAGGATTGCTTTCAAGACTCGATGTGACTCGATGCAATCTGCTGGGTTCCTTGTATAGGAAACTTTTTACTGATTGGCTTAAACAACTGACCTGTATTGGAATGTTTACTGAGTGAAGAGCCTTGAGACGACGCTTGTCATGATTTGGTGCTATATAAATAAACTCGACTTGAATTGAAATAATTGAAGTATTAAATAAAAAATTAAAACATAAGTGGCAACAGTTCCATGTGTTGAAATGAAGACACCAAGTAAAACTCTTTCAAAGGAGTAGTTGAGTTAAAATTTTTAAAGAATAATATGTTAACCTTTTATCACTCCCACCTGACATGTATGTGTTTGCCTACTTATATTTCCAGTCCATATGTTCTGTGTTTGAGTGTTTTCATACGTTGAAGAAACCACATCATGCAGTGTGACCTTAACCTGGCTCCCCCGGCGAGTTCGATATACCATTTGCTGCCCACCCCCCCACCAGCTGAGTGCTAATTTGTCTTCCTCCTGTTTGCTGCCACCACACTGCGCTGCAGGGCCATTAAGGCCTCTGCATGGCTCTGCTGCAGAGCAACAGGACCTGCCAACCACAAACCCCAGAGCAGCTAGAGTCCTTGAAGCCACATTTGACAGCAGTAATTTACTCCGAGTTGTTCTGTTTTGGCTCATAGGGAAGTAACTCCAACATTCAGATGCCTTTGATATACAACTATGTTAAAAAGTTTTCAGGCATTTCTTTGAGGTTTCTTCCAGAAAGTGACTTATCTTTTAACATGATCTTGATATGTTTTTGAAAGTCTTTTAATAAAAATTCAATCGGCTTCATATTCTCTGAAATAACCAGGAAAAGACAAGTCTTATTTTCTGTCATAATCACACGTTTTTACATCCGGTCGAGGAGAACTAATGGGTAAGTCCCAGCCAGGGCTTAATTTGAGCCAGATCTTGCCGGAACAAGATCCAGGAACTATTTTATTTTGAAAGGACTGTAAAGAAAATGAGAGGTTCTTACATTTTATTTAATGAGCCGTAAGGTGTGGGATTCCATAGTAAATATGAAATCCGCCTCACAGATCGAGGGTTATTTAAATCAGAAGATCGGATCTTTTTAATGCAGAGATTATGTAACCGTTATGTATTCACTCAGAGACAACAGAATAGAGGGAGTCAAGTTTAAAAGTTAAGAATTTTATTACTAACAAATTAAACTAGACTTACTTTAAACTAAATGTATAGTGTGACTAAAAATTGATGAGACGGTGAATGGATGACGTGTGATGTAATCAGAACCAGCAAATCCAAAGAAGCGATTAGTTCTGACGGGAACTGAAGATGTTGTTTTGAAATAAGCTTGGGTTAGTTTCAGAACCGCATGAGACATCATCAAGCCGGGTCTACCTGCCTTGTGGAAGTCCTCGGTAGATCAGGAATGCCGAGGTCCAGCGGACCCTCTCTGGAAACCGAGCTGGTAGAAGAAGCCGCGGTTCCGACCAGACCCGTCTTGAGTTACCTCCGGCACACGACTCTTTTATTGGCGACTGTTCAGACCCAGCCTGGGTCGGTGGAGCTTTTATTCTGAAAGGAGCTGTTGTTGCCGCTGGTTGAAATAGTGACTGGATTTTTCAGCTTGTCGTGGTTCTTTTGGTTAAAGAGTTAAAGGTTGGATTGGCCACTCTGACGCTTGCTCTGGAACGCTTTGAACTGGCGTTAGAGCTGACGTGGCATAGTTTTATACCTTGGATGTTATGGTTAATTGTCGAATGAAAATTACCAAACACCATCAGAAGCACCCCTCCGTCAGACCTGTAAAGTTCTGATTGGATCAGTGAAAGGATTGTGTTATGTCTTTTTAACACTACGTGAAATGAGTCCTGTTGGAATCCTTAGTCACTGTACTTATCATTTCTAAGATCATAATGAAGTAATTAATATTTTAATTTCACAGGTCGGTCACATCTTATTATTGACTAACACTTTGATGGATTAGCTTTATTAAAGTAGAGTTATTTGATTAATTAAAAGAAAAGAGTTCATTCTTCATTCTTCTGTCTTCATTGCTGGAACGTAAACAGTTTAGAAGCGAATGCACGACCTTGAGGCTGTTTCATGCACTCTGGCACTGTGTCAAAAGTGAACAGTTGTTAGAGGATAGAAATGGCTCCTTCATCACGTTACAGGACAATTCGGGCAACTGTCTGCTAGGATCCGGCAACTCACGCGACAAACTTGTGCTATACGCAGGATTCAAATTACAGGTGAGCAAAAGGGAGCTCCTGGAAACCCCCAACTTCCACAACCAGTGGGAGCCCAAAAACGATCCTGGTTCTACTTATATTACATTATCTATGTGGACTCTCCGGGGATTATTTAGAGCTGAGAGGCACAGAGCTATGATCATTGACGCGCTCCAGACAGATGCGTCCTGAGCACGGCCATAGTGCGGCGGGCGTACATGTGTCATTTACCCAAACAAAGCTATTCAGTCAAACATGGCAGATGAAGAGATAGAATTCCTCTCACTGATCGGACTTATGTTAAGCATAATTCTGCGCACACGAAGACGCATAAGAGACCTGGATGATGAAGCTCAATGGTTAAAAGGAATCACGGAAGCGGTGTGATGTGCTCCGTCGCGCATCTAGGAGACGGTGCCGTAGGAGGCGAGCTGCCATGGTTCGCCGCATGCTACAGGAGCGAGCATCCACCGGTCTCCCCCTCCTCCCTGTCCAGAACTCGACCTCACCAGTCTGAAGCAGCCACCCTGTCCGTGACAAGTCCGGACCTGTTACTAGGGGCGTCGTCCGGTTTAATTACCGAAAAGGTTATCCGGACGTTTGTATTCAGACACAAAGGTCTTACGGACAGTGTCCTGAACATTTCCGTTTTTCATGACCTGTCTGAAGGGAACCTAAGCTAGATGAAATCTAGTGAACTTTATAGAGTTAGTGCTGGCAGATCATACTCCACACACTCTAACAACAATGCACATCAGTGCCATTCCTGCACATCAGTGCCAGTGCGGTTCAGGGGTCACAAGGAAGGGTCCCCCTGGCCTATTGAGTTCCGCTGCTTTAAAGTAAAGACCCGATAGTTGTCACACTGGTGTGTGAAATTTGTTGTCCACATTTGGGGGACTGGTGAGCTGAAGACACTGCTGTGCTCAGGATCGAGTTGGTTGTTTAACCCCTCAATCCAACTCTTTAATGCTGACTGTCCATCAGGGAGGCATTGGGTCCCATTTTTAAAGTCTTTGGCATGACCCAACTGTGGATTTGAACCCACGATCTCCCAGTCTCGGAGCAGACACTCAGGCACCGAGCTGGTACTTTAAAATCACCTTCAGAGAAATTACGATTATATTTGTTGTTCAGGTAAAATCTTAGACAGTGTGTGTTATAGTCCATGGAATATCACAAGATCTTGTGAATGACTTTCAGCTACTAACAGATTAATGTATGCTCAATATTTGTGAAATTGTCAGTAATATAGCCATGATTGTGTTTGTGAATGCCGATCAGCTGTGGGGGTCATCTCGGGTTGACTTTAGTGAACCCGAGAATCTTTAGGTGAAGATCAGTTAGCACTTGGAGTAAGTGATGGGAATGACTTCCAGCTGTTAAAAGACCCAGTTTTACGTGCCATAAGTAAGAATGTAACAGTGAAACAATCACAAAACAGTCCAATGTCTCAATCATGAAAGAAAGAAAGAAAGAAAGAAAGAAAGAAAGAAAGAAAGAAAGAAAGAAAGAAAGAAAGAAACAGAAAGAAAGAAAGAAACAGAAAGAAAGAAAGAAACAGAAAGAAAGAAAGAAAGAAAGAAAGAAAGAAAGAAAGAAAGAAAGAAAGAAAGAAAGAAAGAAAGAAAGAAAGAAAGACAATGAAACAGATTCTGGCTGGGGAGCTGTTAGTTTTTCTCCTTTCAAAGAATCCAAAGATGAATGTAGTGTTGTTTTACAATCTGCCCCACCTCCACACATCTTGATTCCAGAGCCAATCACATGTAAATCATTTAAGATTGCCAATTCTTCAACACAAACATTGCACCAGCATTTGTATTTTGACATTGGCCGCAAAAGAGCAGCAACGTTGCGTAAATAACGTTTACGCAGAAACAGGAGTGACCTAGAAGTTATGTAGCTATGGAGCCACGGCATCTTTTTGTCTTTAAAATCAGGTAAAGGAGGCTAGAGGCTAACGTTGAGCTAACATTGACCTAAACATTTTAATGGTGAAATAGAAAAAATGTTTGGTTCTGAAAATATCTCAAGTAATTTTTTTTAATTAGCAACAACTCGATATTAGATTGAAATGTATTAATCTACTGATCAACCTAATGTGCTTGAATCGTCTTTGCTCGTCGTAGAATCTGCAGCATCTGAGTTGTTACTGGCAACAGCCATGAAACTCACTGAGAACGGACTCTTGTTTTGACACATGGACTACAGTACCCAGATCTGATCAAAGACGTCATTCTTCACTCACCTTTAAATATAATTTAGTATTAGCTAAGATTAGCTGTGTGGGGCCATCTTGTGTTGGATTGACTCCAAAAGTTAATTGCGCGTTGATTGTAGCGTAACAACATAATCTGAAGTCAGGCTCTGACTTCTGCAGGTCAGCGGTGATGTTGGTCATTCAGTTCCAGAAAACACAATCATGTTTAAATCTGCACCTTCCTTTAAATGATCAATCTGAGCAGTGAAACACGTTCAGCTTCTACCTTAATAAAAGCATTTACAGGAAAACCAGGCCACCAGCCTGGCTGCCCGGTTACCAGCGCCTTAGAGGCAGATCGATACCCAGATGAAGTTTTCTATTTGCTGGACGATCCATAATTCATACTCTCCCAGGTGGTTCTGTATTTACTATCGATCCGGTCGAGCTAACAACAGCAGTATTGATGTGCTGGAGGGAGTCGCTTTGACATCTGGGAAGTGGCTCCTGTCACAAATAAAGATGTTAACTTTAGCAGGAAGTGGAGCAAGAAAAATATTTATATTCAACATTTATTACCACACAAAGAAATCAAATAATCCACTTTTCAGACTTCAATTTGTATTATTAATTTAAATAAACAACATACAGATTGGTATATTAAGCAGTTTTTTTAGATTGCTTCGCAATCTGTTCATTCATTAATGCATTACATTTTAAATACCCTGAAATTGTTGGAGTTTATCTACCACATGGTGCAAACAGAAGCTGTAACTTTTAACTGAATGTGCAACTCAGCAGAACACAGGTAGGACTGACAGATGGTGGACACCGGGTGGAAGGGACATGTCTCCCTCTGTCTCAGTTGTTCCTTGAAGCTCTTCCAGCTGGCCCTTCTTTTTCTTTCTTCTTTCTAAGACACCTTGAGAGTCTTCAGTGAGCCCAGTCACCACATATTCCTCAGAAGGTGCTGACTCAAAGACAGATGTGGATGTTCAAAGACAACAGCAAATTTAATGCTCAACATTAAAGTGATATTATTTATGCAAATTAATCATTTGTTTCCCTTGGTTTTAGTCATTGTTATTACAAAAATTATCTTTGTTTCCCTTCAGGGGCCACTAAAGACATGGGGAAGATGCTTGGTGGGGAGGAGGAGAAGGACCCAGATGCAGCCAAGAAGGAGGAAGAGAGACAGGAGGCGCTGAGGCAGCAGGAGGAAGAGAGGAAGGCCAAACATGCTCGCATGGAGGCAGAGAGGGAAAAAGTACGGCAGACCATCAGGGACAAGGTAAACTCTTTAGAAATGAAGACAATTGATGCTTTGTCTCTTTAAGGCTGTATTAACAGGGGTTTGTTCACCACAAAGGGACTGATTAACATAATAATGAAGGGTTTTGTCTTTGGATTGTTGCTGACTATCCATGTAAGTATCTGTTTTTCAGAGGTCACTGCAGCTGTGTTTGACGTCTTGCTTCTCATTTAAGGAGTTTTCCCTTGATTTTTTCTGGTTTGATTTTGTTGAAATTAGGAAGTCATGGATGCAATTTGCTTGTATGTTTGTCTGGACAGTGCAGAGGCTGGAGTAGTGGCCTCTATGTGACCATGTCTACCAAAGTGTTAGAGATACAGTTGTGGTCAGAAGTTTACATACACTTGTAAAAAATATAATATAATGGCTCTACTGAGTGTCCCGTTATTTCTAAAACTCTGATTTTTCTCTGATAGAGTGATTGGAACAGATACTTCTTTGTCACAAAAAACATTCATGAAGTTTGGTTCTTTAATGTCTTTATTATGGGTTAACAGAGAAAAGTGATCACATTTGCTGGGTCACAAATATACATACAGCAGTGCTAATATTTGGTTACATGTCCCTTAGCCATTTTCACTTCAATCAGGCGCTTTTGGTAGCCATCCACAAGCTTCTGGTTGAATCTTTGACCACTCCTCTTGACAGAATTGGTGAAGTTCAGTTAAATTTGATGGCTTTCTGACATGGACTTGTTTCTTCAGCACTGTCCACACGTTTTCAATGGGGTTTAAGTCAGGACTTTGGGAAGGCCATTCTAAAACCCTTATTCTAGCCTGATTTAGCCATTCCTTTACCACTTTTGATGTGTGTTTGGGGTCATTGTCCTGTTGGAACACCCAACTGCGCCCAAGACCCAACCTTCGTGCTGATGATTTTAGGTTATGTTGAAGAATGTGAAGGTAATCCTCCTTCTTCATTATCCCATTTACTCTCTGTAAAGCACCAGTTCCATTGGCAGCAAAACAGCCCCACAGCATAATATTCCCACCACCATGCTTGACTGTAGGCATGGTGTTCTTGGGGTTAAAGGCCTCACCTTTTCTCCTCCAAACAAATTGCTGGGCATTGTGGCCAAAAAGCTCGATTTTTGTTTCGTCTGACCACAGAACTTTCCTCCAGAAGGTCTTATCTTTGTCCATGTGATCAGCAGCAAACAACAGTCGAGCCTTAAGGTGCCGATTTTGGAGCAAGGGCTTCCTTCTTGCACGGCAGCCTCTCAGTCCATGGAGATGCAAAACACGTTTGACTGTGGACAATGACACCTGTGTTCCAGCAGCTTCTAATTCTTGGCAGATCTGCTTTTTGCTGATTCTTGGTTCACTCTTTACCCTTCTGACCAATTTTCTCTCAGCAGCAGGTGATGGCTTGCGTTTTCTTCCTGATCTTGGCAGTGATGAAACAGTGCCATGCACCTTATACTTACAAACAACTGTTTGCACTGTTGCTCTTGGGACCTGCAGCTGCTTTGAAATGGCCCCAAGTGACTTTCCTGACTTGTTCAAGTCAATAATTCGCTTTTTCAGATCCATGCTGAGCTCCTTTGACTTTCCCATTGTAGCGTTTGTGGGCGTTTGTATCCAATGAGCCCTATTTACCTGGCCTAAGAGAAGTCACCAGCTGTAGTCACTCATAATCACTCACAAGAAGTTAAGAGGCCATGCTATGAAGCTCAGTTCACTGACACGTTTGTAAGTCACCAAAATTGCTAGATCATGTTGCTGTATGTATATTTGTGACCCAGCAAATGTGATCACTTTTCTCTGTTAACCCATAATAAAGACATTAAAGAACCAAACTTCATGAATGTTTTTTGTGACAAAGAAGTATCTGTTCCAATCACTCTATCAGAGAAAAATCTGAGTTTTAGAAATAACGGGACACTCATTAGAGCCATTATATTATATTTTTTACAAGTGTATGTAAACTTCTGACCACAACTGTAGGTTTAGGTGCCTCTGCGAGGGGATTTGTTGGATTTAAGTAACCCTAACCCAGTTTTTCAGTTTTTATGTGTTTTCCTTCTTCCTATTTATTACTATTTGAAAATTCTCAAAACATTTTCTAACGTTTTCAGTTTGCTTGTGTGAGCCACAGGGCCTCTCTTTTGATTCACGAGAATTTAGAACATTGATAACATTTGCAAGTCAAACTTTTTCTTAAAGAAGAGTCTTTGTAGGTGTCTCCTCCATCTCTGAGTTCAGTGTGAAACGACCTTGACAAGAACTGGAGGCCAAATAGTGAACAAAAAATAAAAAAATAAAACATAGTTAAGGCTGGAAAACATTTGAGGGCTAAAGAAACAAGTTTAAATTAAATGTTCATGTTATGTGTTTTTCTTACCCCCCCCCCCCCCCCCCCCCACCCCAAAATATCTGATTATAAAAGATAAATCAGCTGCTCTTTATTGCCACCCTGTGTGGGACTTGCTGTACTGCCTGTTCTCAATGGCTTCTCTGCATTATGTATTCTCCCTCCGTTCAGTACGGGTTGAAGAAGAAAGAGGAGAAGGAGGCGGAGGAGAAGGCAGCAATGGAGCAGGCCTGTGAGGGGTCGCTGACACGCCCCAAAAAAGCAATCCCTAGAGGCTGCGGAGACGATGAAGAGGATGAAGAGAGCATCCTGGACACCGTCCTCAAGTACCTGCCTGGACCTCTTCAGGACATGTTCAAAAAGTAAAACCAGAAAAGCAAAAGCAACCAAACGAACCCTAACTTCGGGGGGCTAGGCTACAGAGCTAAGGGGAGCAGGGATCTTTGATTTGGGGACTTTAGGCTGGGGGAATTATTTGGAGGATTGGTGAGTCAGAGGGGTTTGACTGTAGAGTTTTGGGATTGTAGAAGGGGACAAATGGGTCTGGGAGGGAGGGTTCTCGTCAAACCTTTAGGGGCTGCACACTGCCTTTCTAGAGATCTTTAACTTTGTTTTTTCTACACTTCAACAGTTGCATTATCCTCACTTTATTTCCAATATTAATTTCACCTGCCAGTTAGAGCATTTTTAAAATCCTTGTTTAAAAAAAATCATCATTTTTACATTATTTTGAATTAAAAACAAACTCCTGACGTGTTCCTTAAATGGAGAACAGCATTCCACAGTGGACACATGTCCTCTTCCTTCACTGCCACTGTGTTTTCCAGCATGTGGTCATGACAAGTGTTTTCTACTTTTACAAGCCTGATGAAGGTGTTTCTGTTAGAAAACCTAAAAACAAAAATAGAGATTCATGTTTGAGTTTTTTGGACACGTGCCTTCATATCATCTCTTGCAAAGAAAATGTAAATAAGGGTTTCATTTAGAGACGCATGTATAGATACTCGAAAATACTTTTGGAATAATGTATTTGATATTTGAATGGTTGGTTAGGACACTTTGGGTTTACAAACGACCATCATTTACACCATACTTCCCAAAACTCAAGAAAAAGACACAACATTTTGCAAAACACAAATTACTCGTGAGGCCCAGACACGGTTCTGGTTCTGTAGTAGCTTACGGTACTGCCTTTACAATAAAAAGGAAAAAAAAAAGTGAAATTTTACTACTTCAGTCTGTTACAAGTAAATAAAAATAAATTTAAATAAATTTAACTATTATATATATTTAAATATATTAGGTGTGTGGTTCTCTGATCCAAGTGTATTTTGTAGTGATGGGACTTAAGGCTCTTTGAAGGGAACTGTTCACAATGAAATGGAGCCGTCAAAGTGAGAGTGGGGGTTGGAGTAATGTGTCCCTCCCATGTCGGTAACAGCGCTTGAAGGTGGGTTGCATTCCGCCAATGTCTGTGAGAGCATGGAGCTGGGGGGTCACTGGAAGACAATATGAGTGGTTGTCTACAAGGACTCGACTCTAATCGTTCACTTTGAAAACCCGTTGAAAAGATTTGATTCGTTTGTGAATGTCACATCACTAGTATGTAGATCTGAAGAAGGGTTGTGACTATGCTCATTGAGGCGTTATAGTGAGTGCAGTCAGAGTACGGACAGCTGAGAACACTTTTAAGGTCTATCTGGTCCCAGTGCAACCAGAACAAGGGCTTCATCCACATTCTGGCTCCTAGTCGAGCTCATTCCTTGTGTAGGTTGTACTCCACCATGGACCAAAGGATTTGAGTTTCATCTGCAGTAAGGGGGTGTTTCTTTGCTCTTCTGTCATGAAGACAAAGCTGAGCCACGAGGAAAAGCATTAGATTTATTGGTCCATCTTTGTTCCAACACTAACGTATGGTTTTGAGATTTGGACCTTAACAAAAATAGAACAAGTTCCTGGATGGATAAAAGACAACCCAACTTTTGATGAGCGACAGAAAACAGGCAGAAAAAATATGATGTTTAACTCAAGTGGATGAAGAGAAAGTAGAACCAAGTTATCATGATTTAAGTGATCAACTCCACGTGGACAATCAAATCATTGACGACTGACACCCTAAGGTCTTCATTTTGAACCCCCCAAACTTATTTATTGAGCATTAATCTCTTAATTGATAAACAATTTTAACAAATTACTGTGCTTTGTTTATTCTTCTCTTTAATCAATACAAACACCCGGGAGTTTTTTAGTTTGTTCTAAAATACTGTAACATGCTGCCAGTTTTCTTTTTATGTAACCAAACTTCTCAGCTAACTTTGTCATCATCTTTTACCCACGACTTAAACTGATCAACATCAAGACCAAAGAGAAACTGGTGAGATCTTTAAAATTATTATTATTATTATTATTATTATTATTATTATTATTATTATTATTATTATTTCTTGCTTCCTGCAACTGGTTTCTGGAGAAAATACTTAAAGGAGAAATACTGTGCAGTACTTTGTAGATGGTGAAACCGTAGATTGAACCTGTGAGTTTCTGCTTCTCACTGCCTGAAAAGCTATAAAGAATCTACATTCTGCATTTCCTAATCCAACAAAAACACCATAGTGGTCTGTCTCGTGGTCTGAGTAAATGTTCTTTAAATTAAACTACATACTAATTAAAAATAACAGAAAATGCAGACAAACATTGATAAAATGGAGCATGTTTCTCAAAGATCTGGTGGTGATTCAGTGATTCGTTTTGCAGTGGTGTATGATGAATACATTGTTCCAGGAGTCTTTAAATTAGAATAGCTTTAGAGATTTATAGAAATGATGATGAAGTTGTGCTCTATGAATCATTTATTTATTTATTTATTCTCATTTTCTAGCTCAGATAGGACTTTTCACTAGACAAAGCCATATTGTTTAGATTGCAATAATGAATTAAAATGTTAAAAAGACATTATTTCAACATTCAAAGTTACATGTCAGTCTGTTATCTGTAAAATTTAGATAGTCTGTTTGTAAATCTTCCATTACCTTTAAAAAGCTACGTATATGAAGAGAAAATCTATAGAAAAGGATCCATTGTTTGGACTGTTTTATGTGAACTGTAAGTGTGTTTCTACGTGTGTCTTTCTACATGTCTGTGATGTTGTAGATTCATGTAGTCTATGTTTACACGATTTAAATGTGTCTTGAACTATTTTGTGCACAGGCTGAAGCAGCCTCCTAGTTGTGCCACGTCTGAAAAAAAATACTTAACACATTCCTTTCTGATGTTGAGCATGCAGATGTTTGGTAGATACAAAAATACACCAGATGTCATGAAAAATATTATGTGTGAATACACACACACACACACACACACACACACACACACACACACGCACACACGCACACACACACACACACACACACACACACACACACACACAAAGAGTGTTTCTGAATGTCGCCATGCAACAGAACCCATGCGTTGGATCCAGAAAGGTTGGCTTTATGATGGGCTCGATGAGTGTTTGGTGTTTTTATCTGTCTGAATTGAATGAGAGGAGGACTGTTGAGGCTTACAACCATTTTTTATATTTTTAATTCCAGGAGCAGCACAAGCACAAACCTGTTTTATTTCTCTAACAAGATGCACATGCTTTTGTTAAGGCTCAAAAATCTATTTACGACCTAAACTGACTGTTTGTACGGAGTCGTGTTTGTATCAACTTTTGCACAGAAAACATAATCAGAAAGAATTAAAATTTTATGGATGTTGGTATACATTCATGCAACTCTTTGATTAATTTCAATTAAATGCACAGAACTCAGCTATCAAGCACACAAAGGATCCATCACACCTGTGTCTGCTTTGCTAAAACTGAAGGAGACGCAGAGAACTTTCCTCTTGAGGTGGAACTCGGCTCGTACCAATCACAGTAAAGTCTGATGCCTACTAATTCACTGGAGCACATGTAGTAATTTTTAACTCAGCCATTTCCTGATCAGTAAGCCCTTCACTGCCAGCATTTTTCAGCATTTTCACTGTTTTTTAAGAGTCGCAGAACGTTGCATGCTAGCATGATGTCAACACCAAAACTAGCAAAACAAAGAGTAGACTCACTTCTTACATCAGGAAGAATCCGTAAGTTTCGAGCGTTATCTGTTCTTTCATAATCGGTTGTCGAACTGTGATCGGCAGAAGCTTTTCCGGTTTGCGCCTCACTTTTTTTACAGCAGCAGCCCAAAACGATCTTCTAACACATGGATTTTCTGCTTCCTGATCACGTGATGTGTGACATACGTGGATGAAGACCGGCTTTAGAGCTGGGATGTTTGTTCTCATGGTGCGGGGGCTTGTTCTGATGCCCACACAGTAAAAAAATGCAAATGATGACTTGTTGTCAATGGCAGTGAATGAGTTAAAATGATTTTAAAGGACTGTTACATTAATGAGGAGCATGATCCTTGCTGTAATGTCTTCTCGTTTAGCATTTGGGTGATGGGCGATTCCTAAAATGTTGCCATATTTGATCAGCTCCCTTTCAAAAACTACCAGATGGTCCAAATATGGACTGGATTATTTTCCCTACATTTTTTACTCTAAGTATAAAGCAGAATGATTCCACCACATTTGCTGACATTCTTTTCCATAAGAAAGGGATCCAGTTTAAGCACTTTTAGAGCATCGATCTGGCTCTTAAACATCCAGATGTAGTACAAGTATTAGTACCTTCATCCTCAACAATTAACAATTTAGACAATGCTTTTGTCTATTACTTTTATATTATTATATAATTACGCCAAAATAAAAATCTTATTGTATACCTGTTGTATTAATATCAGGCAATTTCTTTTAATTTAAAAATTAGGGTTGTTGCTGCTTGGTCTTTTGCAGCCAATGATTTGAACGGTAATTTTATTATTTCGCATTTATTCAGGCTGTTGAAGGTCCAGGAAAACACAAAATACCTTTAAGACAACTGACAAAAAGTGTTGGAGTGGTTTAAAAGAAAATGGGACGTGTGCAATTAAAAATAAAAATAGTTCATGTTAAATCTTGCATGTCTATTAAGGAAACATTCCTGCTGAGGGATTTATTTTAATTCAGCTGAACAGTTTGAGAAAAATCACTTGTGCTTCATGTCACACTTCAATCACTTCACCTACAGCCCGTGGAGTAGTTCTTGTTTCCTTTTAATCCCCGGAGGCGAGAAAAGAGGCCCGTAGATCCTGAAGTGTGTTGAAATCATTGGCTCTTTGTGGAAGCTACAGCCATACACCGTCTGTATGTAAAACGACTCTCGGCGGGACTCATCTCAAGGCGTCACGGCCCGTGAACTGCCTTTGAAAAGGGCTATTACCTCGTCATCTGTGTGTGAGCGTAGTGGTGCATTTCTGTCACGTCTGTGCTCGTCCCAGACTCGTGTGCTGTTGTTTTATTACATCTGCATGTCATACTTGAGTGTTTAAACAGTGTGAAATGTTAAAATAATGCTTGGTTTGATCTGCAGTAGTGTACTTTTATTTCTTATGACTAGGTAACTAGGATTGATCGAGGGTTTTTGAAGACAGAAACAGAGCGCATGTTTGCGGGAACTGAAAGCCCAGAAACATCAAATCCTTCCTGGTGTTCCTCGGAAACATCTGAAATGTTAACAAGAGGATTTGGGGGGGGGGGGGGGTTGCAAAAGAGAAACTGGATTATCAAAGCATCTTCTGTTGTCGGGAGCTTAGAAACATGCGTTACAAATCACAGTTCATCTTCCCCCTTTAAAAGATTCTCCTCATAAATTACATTAAAACAAACTGACCCTGTGTTCCTTCCATCCTGTCACTTAATAAAAAATCTTGAGTGATAACTGAGAGAATTATGTAAGAAACCTCTAAAAGACGTTGTGGAAGATGTCATAACATTTGTTTTTGTCACATTTTCCATACTGCCCTGCTGAATTCTGCCAGTGAAGTTAAATTTATCGCTTTTACTCGTCACGCTGTTTACTCTCCTGCAGAGGCTGAGTGCTGTCTGCCGAGGAGAAACTATGAATGCATTCCAGACTTTTATCTTTTTCACATTTGCGCAGGAATGTGTTAAAATGTTACACAAACGGATGTTATGAAATCTGAACTATAGTCTAAGGTGGAAATATGAGCCAGTAAAATATTATTTTTTCTGCCATTATGCTCATACTAACGCAGCAAGGGATGGTCACCTGGTTGTTTACTCTTCTGATTGTTGAAGCTGAAAATGTCAGCGACAAAAGCTTTGATGGAACTGTGGGAATAATTGAAAATAAATAAATCCAAAGGAACATTTTTTTCTTTCTTCTTTTTGTTGTAATTCAGGGTGAAAATAATTTCAGGGTGCAGAAGAATGTAAAATATGAGTTTGTTTACTGTTATTTTTTATGCATGTTATGTACTCAGTGTGGAGCCCAATCACTGTAAACTGTATCATCAACTCAACTGAATCACTCTATTTGGAAATCAGATGCATTAAACTAATTAAAAAAAAACTTAAATGTTTGTAAAAAATTATTTCCAGCTTTTCTGTGTCTCCTTGTTTTGGTTTAATAAAAACTGAAATGGTTTCAGAATATACAACGACATACACAAATAATGGTAATATTTTTTTCACTCGCATAAATATCTGTCATCATCAACAACTGTATTTATATAACACCTTCCAACTGCCAGAAGGCGAACCAAAGAGCTGTACACGCATTAAAAACATTGCTGACCCATACAAGGGTAAACAAAAATACACATAAAAACAAATAAGAACAAATAAAAGCTGGAGATATGAGCAAATACCGGTAATGATAATTTAAAAATACATGATAAATAAGTGAAATAAAACTGGATAAGCTCAAATTAGATAAATATCTATATTATAATATGGCTGCTGAAACACAGAAAATTGTGGTTCTACATTAAATAAATATAAAAAGTTTTAAAACATTGTTTATACATTAGAATATCAGAATAATGGATCTACTCATATACTAGCACCACATATTTAAAAAGAAAATATTTGAATACTTCTATTTTACTCATTAAAAACAAACCCAGAACCCTCAATAAAAATGTTAAAAACCAAAAATATAGCTTGCTTCAGAAGCACAGCAGGGTTTGACTTCTTGATTTATTCTCGAGAAATTACTTTTTTTTTTATTTTATTTTTTCTGGAAGTATCTTCTCATAAGTTATCAACATTTTAATTAGCTGTCATTTTGGACTTTTTTCTTAACTTTTGACTTATATTTGAACAAAACAAAAAGGTGTAGTTTATCCTTCTCAGCCTTTAATCACGCATGAAAATTCAGCCTACTTTTGAATTTAGTTTATCAAGTTTTATACCCAAACTGCTAGAATCTTTTAGCCTGGCAAGCCAGACTATATAAATGTATTATTTAAGAATTTGGTCTAGTTCACTAGGCTAAGAATCTTTAGCTTTTATAGAAATTGTACATTGTACAATTTGTATTTTACTGGTAACCAGTATTTAAGCAGTTTTATCAAACAAGCACTGAGAAATTGTTTTTATTTGTTATTTTGTAAATATCAAAATCTGAAAGAATTTTATTGCCAGCGCTCCAGCGAACCAGAGCATAGGAACTTGACTCCACAGTACAGCCTCACCAAGATTACACACACACATATAGACAGGACAGATACAGGCAGACCGCGAGAGCAGCCTTAATATGTCTCTCTGTTTAATCTGCAGGCTAAATGTGAAAATAGTTTTCTACCGCTATTTCTTGCATTAGCCGCCAATAGAAAATTGACGTGGAAACGTCAGTTTAACAGCACGTCATATTGAAAATTAGCATTCCCATCTAGGCTCATGATGGGGGAAGGTTGTGGTTGCTTTAGCATCCAGGAGAGAGCACAGCACTTCTCAGCATGTAAATGCTAACCATTAGCATTAGCAATACCTCAACACAGAAGAACTTCTTCATCTTTCTGTTATTTGTGGACATAAAAAAAATCTATGCTTCATAACAAAATCAGTGGTAGGGTTGCATTGCTGTCAGCCAATCAGAGACAAGATGTCCGAATATCAGGACACCAAATCCTGCTGTGTAACCTCTCTTATGATGTAGCGTTCCGCTAGTTCCTGAATCAGGCTGTGTGAACTGGATGAATTAAATTATTGAGTTCATTTTAACATTTTTCGGAGAGACAAGTAATAATAATAATAATGCATTGAACTTATATAGCACTTTTCTAGACACCCAAAGACGCTTTCACACACACTCACATTCACTCACTGCTAGTGATGGTAAGCTACTTGTAGCCACAGCCGCCCTGGGGAGGTCTGACAGAGGCAAGGCTGCCATTTGGCACCGTCGGCCCCTCTGACCACCACTAACACAGCCAAGTTGGGTGAAGTGTCTTGACCAAGGATACAACAGCAGGATACCCCTGGCGGGAGCTGGAGTTGAACCCATGACCCTCCGATCATGAGGCAACCCGCTCTACCACCTGAGCTGCTGCTGTATGTGTAGCACTGAGGATTCCAAAGGTTTGCCAGACCAGGACCACAAACCAAATCCAGGATAAAGAGTTTGAGTGAATACTGTGTTGAAGGTGTGGAGGTGGATCAGAGTGTCCGATGAAACTCTGTAGAAGGATAAAGTACTAGCAGGATGGTCTAAATACACTGCTATTCTGTGAACCAGAGAAGAGGAGAAGGAGGAAACGATGGATGCTCCCTTCTTATTGTGCCAGACAGAATAACCACTGCCATCATAGAACAGAGTCCAGGACTGGTAATTTCCCCCAAACCAGCTGTTTCCTTCTCCTTTCCTGATGATTCCTTCAAAACTGGCTGAAACATGAGCTCCTCCTGTGAGCTCAGCCTCCCAGTACCAGCCAGACCATTATAACAGAGGACCTGGTAATTCTTGTCAAACCTGTCTGAATGATTCGGGTATGACTCATCTGTTTCCACAAACGTCATCCTTGTATTGTTTTCAGCCAGTTTCACATTTCTGTTTACAGTGTTTCTGTTGACTGTGAGTTCACAGAAATCTGTAGAGAAACAAAACCCCCAAAAAAAAAGACAATTAATCTGTGCTTCAAATCAACATGAAAGCATTTAAAAGACATAATCAATGTAGAAACAACACAACTATGGCTACACGTGGAAGCATAAATCACATTCAAGGCTGTTGTGTTTTTGAATAAATAACATATATGAGAATTAGTTGCTTTTAATGTATTATTTTAGAACAGGTTCTATAGAACGTGTTAAAAACCTTGACTCATGACATCAGTAGCTGTCTTCAGATCAGATTTGTCACAATCAAAAACCCCTTTTATGGTTCATTTGTCATTCACAATGCACAAGTCAATCAGGCCAACTACCAGGACTTTTTCTGTGCTTTAAGATTGTGCTGCTGGAACTGCAAAAACATAAGCGTGTGCCCTAATAACACAGCTGCATTCAGGTGTGAACTAGAAGTGAATCCTTTGAATTCTTGACACAGTGGCAGATGACATCTGTGTTTAGCTTTCTTTTGACTGTTCAAAAGCACTTAATACTTTAAATACAAGTAAAGATGTGGCTCACATTTGTCCAGAGATTACTCCTCGATGTAAAAAAGTGAGTCCAAGGGCAGGATGAATGCGGACTATAAAAACCCAGAGTAGGCTATAAAATAGTTTTACCTTTAAACTCATCAAGCATCTACTGTAAGCTCTATGTTATATTACATTGTTGTTGTGTGTCACATACATTTTTCTTAAGTGTAACTACACAGACAATACGTAACTTAATGTTACTATGAATCACTAACAAACTTACATTTCTCCAGTCCTGGTTTTAGCCACTGTACCCCAGCAGGTACAGCAGGCTGTTTAGGTTCCATCCTAAAAACAGTTGGGTGAGAACAAGGGGAGGCATTAACGGCAAGCTCCTAATTTTTAGGCTTTTTCATTGCATTTATTTTGTATTAACATTCCTATCTATGACTGTATTGTCTCTATCAATACCTGAGAGTTTCAAGACTTCCTTGATGATCTTCCAGAAGCTTCACCCCAGTGTTTCCTGGATGGTTGTAGCTAATGTCCAGTTTTATCAGACAGGACGGACCGGAACTTAGAGCTGAAGCCAGAAAAGAACAACCTTCCTCTGTGATCAGACAGCCCAAGAGCCTGCAGACATACATGACAGCATCTAAACTTGGGACCCTGCAGGGATGGACTAAACCAGGGATTCCCAAAGTGTGGTGCACGCACCCCTGGGGGTGTGAGAGCTGCCGCTAGGGGGTGCGCGGGGTGAAAAGTGTAATGGCTGCGGAGCTCAGAGAAGTCTGTCGTATGTCACCATTAGCGTAGCCAGAAACTCATTTGTGGGTAGGCCTAAGAAAAAGTATGTGGGCCCGATAAATGTAATTGAAAACAAGTATATTTTGTGTGTGTGTGTGTGTGTGTCCTCCGCATGTGCCCTAGCTTCATAATAATAATGCGCCGAGCTTCAGCGCTCTGGCCCGCGCACGCTGTTAATAGCAAGATATGTTCCGTATTTGATCATTTTTATCGGTGTTGGAGAAATCTGAAGGTGGTGAGTCATTCTGGCAGATTGTAATTAACACCTGTCTCTTGCAGGTGTTCTGACATTGTAAACCTCACACACAGAACATTGTGGATGTAACAAAATGAATCAAATGATTCCCATCTGAGCATTTTAGCATTATTATATTATTATATTAGCACATTGACTGTGGGACAGCATTCTAAACATGTAGGCTATTAACAGCGCGCTGAAGATCTGAAGTTCAGAGTGCGTCTGTCAGAGGTCAGACACGTTCCAGCGGAACCACGGCTCAGAAGTAATTTTACAACATTGGTTTGAATAGCGCCAGTAACGAGACGCAGTGACTGGAGCGGCTCATGGAGCTGTGCCGCACACACACACACACACACACACACACACACACACACACACACACACACACACACACACACACACACAGAGAGAGATTCAATAAGCGCACACTGCAGAAGCTCCGTCGTTGTGCGGCGCTGCGCTGCACCGCGCCGTCAGACTGAAGGCAGAAATGAGCGCTGCCTCCTCCGTGATAAAAACTTTTAAGAGATTTTATAACAACATTTTTCATTCAAGGTCAAATTAAGATATTAGCTTCTATTTTGCGATGACCTATGAAATCCGAGTCCGCTCCAGCCAGTGACTCCTCATGAACTTGACTACAACTCATGTTACTGCAGCATTTGTTGTTCCAGTCCGCGTGGCAGCGGATCGCAGATTCAGCCACGCCATAAAACAGCAATAAGTTGGTCTGAGGCAAAAGTGAACCTCATGGCTATAGCTTTTCCATCTTTTCCCCTATAGACATTTGATTACGCACAAGTAGGTGATCAGCTCAGGTTTACAAAGAGCAGAAGGAGAGCGCTCTGGCCACAGGTTAAACGTTCCTACTTTAAGAAAACCGTTAAATTGCATTGTTGATGTGCTTCCTGGGCACTCTAAATATTTATTTTAAATTAAATCAAA